AATTCTACGGCTTATTTAGGATAGGAAAAATGACTCTGACAAAAATGATCGACGAGTTTTCGAATGAAGCCGGCGTTTCAATGGATGAGGTGTCTCCGTATGATGGCCAACAGTGTCCGATTTGTTTAAAGAGGTTCGTGTCATCGAAGGGCCTCGTTCAGCATTCAATAATTCATACTGATCGCAAACCGTACGCTTGCGAAGTCTGTGGAAAGCCTTTTCGGTTCAAGTCGAACTTGTTCGAGCATCGCAGCATTCACTCGGGCGAAAAGCCATTTGCTTGTCCATTCTGTGGTAAGGAGTGCAGGCTGAAAGGAAATCTGAAGGTTTTTATAATTGTTTTTTTTATCATGTTAGTATTTTGATTCGATGCATATATTATATTAATATTTTTATCATGGCGATGTTTCATTGTTTTTGATTTCGTTCGAAATTAAGGGTCAGTTTCAGGTTGATATGGGCGTATTAAAACATACAGCATAAGTTTTATATGACAAGGTGAGAGCTAACCATTGCAGTGAACCAGAAGTTTTTTTCTTATCATATCGCAGGCAGACGCGCATGTTTATCATAATTTTTCGAATACTCAAGCAATGGGAAACGAAACTTTATGATTGAGTGTGGTCAAAATTCGTGTATCTTCATTAGTGGTCGGGATGTGTTTCGAATCTGAAGTGTATCATGTCGTTTCTAAGCTAGAAATTGGACTGGTTAATTTCATATTCTTTAAGATGGCACACCGATCATTTCTTTCTTGCATTGGCAGTTGTACTAATAATTCAGTAGAAATCGAATTTATCTTATCGGCGATGAGGCGTGTCCTAAATGTTTATCTCGTATTCATGCGGGATTGTCTTATTAAATGATATGGTGTATTTTGTTATAATTTATATCGTGTTAAAGTGTAAATTTATCCGAATAATAAGCCAGTACTAGCGTATCGGTCAGTAGAAGCACAGTTCTTCTGTAGACAAACATTTGCGCAGAATAATCACCTACAAAATAGCCGCAAATCCGAACCTGAAGAAAAATTTTGAAATACCGACTGACCATGATATTCAGTTTTTTCTGTTAGTGACAGAGTACTAACAATATTTTATTACCACTGTTTCTAACCATTTCATTATTATTTGTTATAATCAAGAGCTTATTAATGCCGTTTCGAACTGACTAGATGTCAGCGTTTCGGTCTATGTTTTACTCGGTTCTTCTTAGACTTCTTTACTTTACAAGGTAAGAATATAGTCCCTTCCTATAAAAAGCCACGTTTTATTGCCTAGAATATCGGTGAATTATAAATCTACAAATCGATAGTGGTCAGCAATGCTGATACAACCGATAACGATGTTTTTTTCAGCATTTGTTACATCTGTATGGGGAAACCAAAACTTCGGTTTCCTTTGCCATTGCAATGAACTAATGCTAGCGTTTTATTCTTTTATCTCAAGTTTTCTACCGTTTCAGCTATATCTCTCCTTCCTGCTAAGCAACCATCATCAGAGCCATTTATTTATCTAATTCACAGAAAATATCTAAGTGCCATCGAAATAGGGGTATTAGTTTTTAAGGGCAAAAATTAGGTGGTTTGTATGTTATGGAAAATGTCGTGATATGCACGATTTTTCTTGCATCCTCATGGGGAATTCTTTCCTAGGATAGACAGAAAACAGTGCTTTCGTGAACAGTTGAGCCTTGAAGTCGGGCATGTTTCTTGTATTGAACGGAATGCACCCCAGAATGATGAGCGATAAGCTTGCATTTGATGAAGTTGTCTTTTGTAAATCGTATTGAAGATAAATGCCGCTATTATGATTTATCTATATTTTATAGAAGCACTTAAAGACCCATGTGAAAGAAGAGGAAGAAATCGATCGTGCGTACGAAACAGCCACCGGAAGTTCAAGTCTTCGTGCTGTGATGTGCTTGAAAAACGAAGAATATGGGGATGAAGTTTCCGGGGCAGACAGCTCGTATTCGCCTTATCTGTCCAACGGCAGACAGAGGCGAAGAATAGTTAATTCTCGAAAGATCACCAAGGCACCCAGTGTTGCACTGGTTGTGACCGTTGGTCAGGATGACCAGGAACCTGAAGAACTGTATGCAGAGGTAATATTTAAATTTATTTCGTATTGTAAATTGATGCCGGTTTTAGGCACCTTCCCTATACCTCTCTCTCGGCGAAATGCTGGGGAAGGAATATTCGATGGCTGAGTTTTGCAAGGCGGCACGATCGATTCCCTTTGAGATGTATCGGTGTCGTTTATGCCACGTATCGTTGAAGAGCCGTTTTGAAATGAAGGAACACTGCGAGGTGGTGCACAACATGAGCAAGCATTCGATAAATGGTGAAGATACCGACGAGGTTGTTTGGTGCGACGTCTGCCTTGCACCTTTTGATGACCGCCAGTCCTTCGATCGTCACTGGTCGTTTCATACACGCGTTCGTAATATGATTGCTTGTCAGGAGATTACTTTGGGCGAACCTGGTGCTTCATCTTTTTAAGCCAGCGCAACGCCGCCTTCTCGTTCGAGTCGGTAGCAAGTACCAAAAGATGTACAAATGTGTTATGTCCTTCGCAAACTGGGTTGTACATATTTTATTGTAAATCATTAGTATTTTTGGAAGGCATACTTGTTTTAGCAGATTTTTTGTTTCTGTCCGCTTCTTTGCGCCTTTCGCTCAGAAATGTTAACAGTGAACTCGGGTTGTTTTGACAGTTGCTTGTGAACTGTAACTGTAAATTTTCGCTGATGCTGTTTAGTTTCTGCAGCTGACTCGAATAGAAAATGAAACGCAAAACTCGCAAACGAGATGGGATGCAATTGTTCCGTTGTTGTTTAAACCATTTGTATAGATGAAGAATCCGTTAGAATAGTTGTGACTTTGATGTATTAAAGTTTTGTATGCAATGTAGTTTTTTTTGAAAGTGTTGTCAATAAGATGATTGTGTGCATACATCTCCACACTGTAGCAGCGCAGAGACTTATGAAAAAGAAATACCAGTGCCATGATTCGTTTTGGACAAGTTAAGTTAATGAATGTGATTATAGATGCATTGGTGCATCGTGATTCAGAGCATTAAACCACACATGACCTGGGATTTAGTGCTAGCGCGTTTCGCTACACACGCTGTAGGATCGTGATCATATAATTGATTGTCAGGCCATTAAACGCCGCAAAAAAGTGACTGGTTGATTGAACCGAAAGTTTCGCATTCATACTCAGAACTTTAAATTTCAAAGTTCAATTTCTGAAACCCGAGCTAGCAACAATTTTTTAATTTGTCATGAACTAATTGCAACTGTGTTTTAATGTATTTCAAAGAAAAATCATTTGATATTCCAGACTTAAAATGAGTTTCTCATATCACTGTAGACTAAAGTAATGTTTCCGACTTATAAAAATGTTATTTCCCAACAAAGTGTGCTTCATTAAGGAGTATTTTATACAAAAATATTTACATCAGTTAAGCAGCAGCTACTAGTTATTTTAAGTGAAACTGGACAATGAAATGCACTGATATCTGACTTTAACAGAATCAAATTTCGGTCAGGCTAGCAAACTGAATCGGTGATTTTGAATTTCCCATTGACGCCAGAAATTTTTATTATTAATAATTCTTTGCGGATAACCAGGTATCGTAGATTGTATTATTCCGTTACTGTATCGATGAATTTTCGGCATTCAGTTTCGTTAGTGTGTTACATTTTAGGAATATCTTAGAACCTGTCGATCATAAGGAAGATCTAGGTTAGTGAATAATTTCTGATTCATTTGCTGGTTGATCATTCTTGGACACGCCAATTGTACCTAAGTAGGTTTTCTGGCGAAAGTTTAGCAGCCTATATCTATGTCTTTACAGCAGTGCATAAGGCATGATATGGTGCATTATATCGTACTCGTCTTTCGGGAAATGTTTTTGTATCGAATGGCTCGTCTTTATATGACCATCCCTCTCATAAAAACCCGTTGATTCTGATTCTTCTGTCTTATTGTTTCCCTGAATTTTCATAGTACAATTATCTGTGGTTTCGAAGATTTGTGTTGCGTCAAGCAGTTTCTTGTGACTCGTCGATAAGTTGCAATCGACACTGCGAGAATGACTGCATTTTTTCTGCTTTGTATGAAGCATCATTTGCCAAACGCATTTGCCATTGTAGTATTTGTTTGTGTAAATGGTAATTTGGTTTAAAGTACTCAGTTGATCGAAAATGGTAGCGTCTCAGGGTGTATCTTTGTCCTGCAGACTGTGTAAAACAATAGCATGTGGATGGTTCGTTGGCCTCTTGAGTTTAGCATAAAATAGCGATGTCTAACTATGATAGAACCTGTCAGTGCGAAAGGGGTTTGCGTTGTCAGGCCGGTGAAAGTTTTTATGCAACTAGTAAGCGTATGGAGGTGCTTTCTGATTGGTATGGGTCCTGCCTGTCTGTCATGCTTTATTCGAGCATTCTCTACACAGAAGCGAACTGCAATTTATCAAAATTTTTTAATTGAAGACTGCGCTTTGCCTGGCAAAGGTATCTGGTGTGGTCAAACCCCTCTACTCCAAAAGTTGAAATTTGTTTGAACATCTGAAATTATTATTGGTCTGGAGGTTTTTAAGCGTGTGTTATTATTTTAGAATATTTTGTTCCTCTTGTTATTGCTGAAAAATTGTTATTTGGGTTGATGCTTAAGCTAAGGCGAATTATTGTTAGAACTGGAATCAAGTAGGAGTCTGTTTTGAACAGGGGTACTTTTGCGCTGCATATGCAAACAGGACGATTGAAACTTCGGGAGCCTTTTATGGGCACAATTTGCTTTCTGCCATCTGATAGGGGACTATTCAGTCCTGTGGCAGCGTATGACCTCCTTGGTAAATGTACCCTAAAAATAGATCAAGTACGTTTCGTAACCTCATAAATATGTTGTGTAACATTGGCAGTAAACTTTTGAAACACTTTCGCTATGAAGAGCAGCAAATTACATCATTTGGTGGAGGTCAGGTGTGTGACCAAGAAGTCGTAGTGTTTCTTTCTGAGTTATAACAGTGAAGCGGATGTCGTCTCTTCGAGAGATTCGCCGATGTAGCATAGATAACATATTTTGTCTTAGCTGTCATTATACGATGTTTAGGGAAGACATGGCTAAATGCATGTCTTGTTTTATTTCATATGATAGCAGTAGATCGGCTATAAGTATGTTTACGGTTGTGACTACTTTTGTTTATTTATTTTAGGTGTGTTATGTATTTGCCAGTTGATTTCGGAATAATTTTATTGACTGTTGTGTATGTTGGAAACTAGAATTCTTTGATGATCCCGTTCAGGCAGTAATTTTCTACTTCATTTGAACACATTTTGTAGCGCGGTATCGTGCGTGATCTGTAATGCTAAAGTCTTCCGCGAGATGAGATACCTCTGCGTAATGTGGGCGCAGGTGAACCCTTCGAAGTACAAGCGGTTATGCCTGAGCTCACCGAGGAGAATCGAAGCGGTCCGAGCCTCATGGAGTCGTCACCTTGAACCCCATTCGGCTGGGGTAAAGGGCAAAACACCTAGCAAGAGTAGACAGTGGCCGAAACATATCAAGTATATCAAGAGGGAATAAAACGGAAAACGCAAGCAAAAATCAGCTAGTACGGCCTGCGTGCAGGTCGAGTCGGACTACGGCGAATTACATTGCACGATTATTGAATGACACCCAAGGACTGAAAGCGTCTAATTGTAAGACCTTGGTTCAGATGGAGCGAAGAGCTGATACGATGAAAGAACTTGGTCATCGAGACTTGTCACTGGTGATCCCCATTAATTACAAAAAATATGGAGAAAGAACCAGAGAAATATGGATTAGATACCAAGAGATCGTTTACTGTTTTTCTGCTGTTTGCTTTTACTTTGTACTGTACTGTTATTCTGTACTATTTGTGCTACTGTCGTCTTATTGGTATGCTATTCTCTGCGTCATTTCAAGATATTGTTATTTTACACACTGTGCCATGTTTCCTTAGAATTGGAGTCATGGTGAGCGCTTCCCTTCAGAGTCTTATTGAAGCTTTACTTATCTTCCAATGTATCTCCTATGCACTTTAGGTTTATATATGTTCTTTTAAATGCTGAACATAGCTGGAGTACGTCGTTTAGTTCTTGAGGGTCTTAAACGCAACTCAGTGCAATTTGTTTACTTTTTTAGGTCAGTTATTTTAGCATGCGGTAATTTGTATATTCAAGTGTTTCGAATCGCTTTCAAATAACCCCAAAAATAAAGATAATTCATTTTCAAGTGGGCCTTATTTTCAGGACTATTTCTATTCATTCCGAAGGTTAGATCCACCGCTGCAGGATGTCTAGTGTTGCTTTCGACTTTGACTCTTGCTTAAAACCAAGGGAGGCCGGACAGTTTGTTGCCGAGAGAGCCAGGTTTGTGGATGTATGTGAGGCTGGCGTCAAGAAAGTGGCCAATATGGTAAGCAATATGAAAAATTGCAATGTAAAACATCGCATTACTTAAAATAATTTTTGGTCAGCTTAATAATTTAAATTAATATTGTTCAATCTGTATTATATGAACAGAATGTCACAGAAGAGACCTCCAAGGAGTATTCGGTTAGAATGACCACATTGTATTCATTCAGGGAACAGATCTGCCATTAGGTGACTGATATACTGAATATTTGAAATTCTCAATCAGATCTGGGCAATTTAGCTGATCGACCAGCACTGGTACTGTTTCAAAAATTTGCTGAAGCTGCTAGCGTTGAACCGGAAGCGAGTAACAGGCGACGCAAGCGAATGAAGTCACTAGGCCTCGTTTAATAATATACAATGGTCAAGAATTTCTTGGTTCTCTGGACGAATGTCAGTATTACGACGATTGAAATAGCTGAAATATTGGGTTTTTTAACTCAGAGCAAATTGCTGAAGTACTGTTTACATTTCTGGCTACCTTACAGTCATTTTCCGTCTGTTTGCCAGTTTTTTTGAGTTTTTCATAGTCATTTGCACCCCCTGTCACGTTTCTGTGGGTAATGCAACCGTAAGAATCAAGCATCGTTCCCCCCAACCATCCAGCCAGTCAGTCAGTCATTCAGTCAGTTAGTCAGTCGTTCAGTCAGCCAGTCAGGCTGTTTGTCTGTCTGTCTGTTTGAGTTTCGAGGACCGCTTATTGTTTCGAGTCGCACAGCTGGCAGCGTCAGACTAAGTTTCCAAGATTACTTACTATTCGCGCGCCAGCTTCCTGACTTCGGCAGAATTTGACGCGAGTCTGGAACAAAGTTCATTGGAGCACTTCTCCCATTTTCGTTGGCTTTTGCCGGGGTCTTCAGCCAGCTTGTTTTCCTTACTAAAATCTTTTGCAAGATGTGCTCAGCCGTTACAGATGTGTCTTCTCAGTCTGGAAAAGATATTTCTCAACTCTCTGAACTTTGTCAAGTCACATGAGTTTAGAAATTCGTCTAATTTTAGATAGCCAGTTTCAGCAGTTTACACCCGGAATCGCAGTTTTCGGTAATGACCGACAACTATGACCATAAACAAGGATGAAGATGAAGATTGGCTTAGGCACAGACAGCTTAGCCTTAAGACGCCGCTCTGCCTTAGTCACAGCTGTGAGCTGTTGTGCTCTGAGAACGCGGCTGACAATTCCAGTTTGCCTGTTCATCTCTTTTTTTCATTTTCCATCGCCAGTTAGCAGTACAATATAGTACGCGACTTTGTCTGTAATTCTGCCCCCTCTTTCTCCTTTGTGTTTCTGCGCAGAACGCAGTTAACAGCAGAACGAGAGCGCACTGGTCGATCGCATCTGTTCCTAAACACGTTCAACCCCATGCCGGCTACGGATAAGGTTCAAAATATACCATAATGGATTCAGAACTACTAGTTCACCCTTCCCTTGCTTTTATTTTTCCAGCGCTTTTGAAGCAGATCAGATTGCGGCACCTTGATATTTTAGCGTCTGTAGTACATTGGCACTAAACGGCACACTTTTCTATTTTATCTACCTGAAACTCTCACTTCATTGCTCATTTATTCTGTTGAATACAAGAGTTCCTTGAAAATGGCTACATCCATTATATAAAACATATGAAACAGGCGCAGAAATCAGCTTCATGGTGATCCATATGATGATCACAATCATTCTCGTAACCGTATTCATTCTGTTGAGCACATGTTCGATGTAGTTTCAATCATAAATATGTCCTCGAGTCGTAACTTGTGATTTCGTTTTACTTTTTGACTGAGATTTGTTAAACTAAGAGGTTGAGCTGCCGACGTTGTTCGACGTTCATACTGTTTAAACTTCACGTGGCATCCAT